CAAGTATATAAGATTACCTAGTCACACAGATCGGATGAAATAAATAATCACGTGGACCAAATATAAGCACCTAAAATATCCATGGCAGTCGCAGTGGAGCCAATCTTGATAATCAGAAGTGACGATCACTAAAATTATTACTGGCTGGACCAATACGACTTCATCGCCTTTTCGACGATGCCATCGTCTTTCAACAATTTTTCAATATATTGTGTGGCTGAAGCGTGCAATCGCGCCAGGCGTCAAAAGATGCGATTTGAGCAACGAGTGATTCTGTTAAAGGCCCACCTATTACAAAGCTCTCAAATACATTTTCTCACCAGTAGCAGCAGCAGAGCCTTTGACAAAATGAGCAGTTGCGTATATATATATATATATATATATATATATATATATATATATATATATATATATATATATATATATATATATATATATATATATATATATATATATATATATATATATATATATATATATATATATATATATATATATATATATATATATATATATATATGGTGGTTGAGTGGCCGTAGCGTTGCATATAGTCTAGTAGATCCTCCGTGAGCGGTCACAACGTGGTTTATTTCGACGTTTCGGCCTAGAGTCTGGCCTTCATCAGGATTCCTGATGAAGGCCAGACTCTAGGCCGAAACGTCGAAATAAACCACGTTGTGACCGCTCACGGAGGATCTACTAGACTATATATATATATATATATATATATATGTGTGTGTGTGTGTGTGTGTGTGTGTGTGTGTGTGTGTGTGTGTGTGTGTGTGTGTGTGTGTGTGTGTGTGTGTGTGTGTGTGTGTGTGTGTGTGTGTGTGTGTGTGTGTGTGTGTGTTACTCAATGGTCGCGTATAGTGTAATATTGGATGTAGCGCCTCGTACAAAATTCTGCCTTCACTTATTGGTCCTTCACTGATTCGCAAAACAAATTATTAAGGATTATGGCTGGCAATAGGCATTCAATGACACTTTGAAACGGCCAATTTCATGCCACAGTTGTTCGTTTTGTTTATACTGCAGGGGTGAAGCATGCACAGAGAACCGAAGCAGGTTAATAGTTCAGAAGGTAGTGCGCACGGGGCCCTAATACGCTAGCGCGACCTACTCTTCAAGGTGACGCTCGCTCGAGTGCCCTGCAATTTTCATGGCTGTTGTTGTTGTTGTTGTTGTCGTCGTCGTTGTTGTTGTTGTTGTTGTTGTTGTTGCTGTTGTTGTTGTTTAAAGGGCAACTCACTATACATGTGCAAGGGCGTGTTGTTACCATTGTTGTTACCAGTGCAAGGGCGTGTTGTGGACATCAGCTGATAGAGATTCCGTATGCAGCTAACGAATTGCTGGCGTGGTACGAAAACAGCCGTAATTGAAAACACTACGTCGTGTGCCCTTTTTTTTTTTTGTCGTAGCTGTGCTTCGGGAGCGAATGGAACCTAACACGCACGTATCCACGTCAGTGGCACTTGTTTGAACGTCCACGCAATGTCTGTGGAGTCATGCAAGGGATACGTGCCGTGAAAGATCGCTCCCCATGGCACGTGACTTCGGTTCTTCATGCTTTATTCTAAGGGCACAATACCACTGCTGCATATGCGCTGAGACGCGAAAAAGAAATGTACGGAAAAACAAGAGTGTGCCCGTCGCGTTCACATAAAAGCGCCTTCTCGCGTTCTGCAGTTGCAAGTACGCAGCACTCGCGAACACCAGCCCAGGCAAAGCGAGACTTTAGGTTTCGCATCGAAGATCGAACCCCGCAGGAGTCACGGTAACTGACAGCTCAATTTCTTCTAACCCGTATTATAATGGTGAAACATGTAGCGCACAAAAAACACGGATTGAGAAGACTGTACGACAATAACGCAGCTTTGAAAATTTTTGTTCGGTAAGACGTTCCCTAGGCAGCATGATACGAGTTCCAGCGATGAACTGAAATTCGCATTTGGGCCGGGTTAGAGGTCCCTTAAAGAATGCGCAGAATTCTCACAAGAACATTTAAGAGCATCGCGAATGTGGCGCTTTTTGTAGATGGTTTTTTAAAGGTGAGAAGGACATACTTTGCACCCAATAACGGCTGTTTCGTGTCCAGGAATAGTCATTTAGCCGTTTTACTGGTACCTAAGGGTATCTTGTCAAAGAAAAAGGTGGCTGTTCGATTGCGCTGTCCTTTTTCATCTTGACACTTTCGGCCCTGGCGTCCTATAAAAAAGACATGAAGCAATTTTGCTGCCAAATGTGACACAATGAAGTCAGAAATTGAAAACGGTGTGCGAACTATCCGCAATACATTTGCGCAAGCATAGATAGTAATTCTGTGTCGTCGTCTTTTTTTGGAATTCTGCAAAGTAGAAAACAAAATGGTGGATTGCAACATTGACGACACTCGCCCGAACTAAATAATGAATGACGCCTTACTGGTTAACTAATAAATCAGTAACTATCGTATTTATCATGTTGTTTATAAGATATCTAACTTGATATTTGCAAAGTGGGGCTTTACTAGCATGAACGTATCGCCCGAAGCAGTTGACAATCTTCATTTCCTAAATATAGGACACCAGGGCTCAGTGGTTGTGAGACCTCTGAATGCATTCAGGCTAATCCAGATGTGTAGCTCTTGTAAAAGCCCCGGTTTCTAGTAACCTGCCCAGATCACTTAGATAATATGTAAAGGGTATCTAATTCTCAGATAGTACGTAATTAATTTTATTTTGTTTTTAAATATAATATTATTCCGTGATTGAACTAAAAGAAGACGACGATGAAGTGTAGTTCAATCAGCTTACCCTTGCAAACATGGGCGGAATCAATTCTGGTGCCGCAAAGCAGCGTACGGCAAATTTATGATGTTGGATCTTCCAAAGTGTTCAATATGTAGACGGTGGCCGTTATGATGCAATGAGGAGCTGTGTATCACGAGCGCAAATCTTTGCGATTGGACAATTTAGGCGCTGTAACTAATATGTGGTTGTGTATGTTAAATTCACAACGATAACTTGCACTAACAAGTTTAAATAAATTGTATGTATTTAAATTCACCATATTTCACTTTGCAACCAATAAGCCCTGGTGTCCTATATTTAGGACATGGAGTCATTTTTCTTGTATACTGATGGGATGCTCAGAAAGAAGTATTTTGGTGTTCTTCAGGTTGTAGTAACTCCAAATCAACGAGAAACAAAAATATCCGCCGGTGAAAAAAGTCAGGGCTGAAAGGGGTAAAATGGGACCTCATTTGAGATAACGAGCAAGCTGGTTGCCTTCTTGCGTATTGTTCCTTGTGCTACAGAGAGTTAAGCAGGTACTTCGCTCGGAACTAAGAGTTCCAAATCATTGTAGGGCTGTTCGTGGCTCGGCGTGGTGTATAAATAGAAGATCTTTTTAATTGAGCCTTTAACATGAGAAAACAGCGATCTAAAAAACCAACCGCGTTTGAGTTGTTGCTAAACGAAGCATGGTATTGTTCTCTGTGTGTTGCAAGGCTGCAAGCAATGCCAATGAGTGCCTCTGCTTTTTTATTATCGTTTTTTCACTTCGGGCAAGACGACACGGCAGCTGTAGTCCAGGAAAGAGCCCGTATACATTTCACGCTCTAGCGTGGAGTAATTGGCGCAGAAGGATAAAGAACAAAGAACATGGAAAAACTAAATTGGGATAGCACAAGGTGAGTCGTTTGAGGCGTGAACGGATATGATGGAGGTGCTGAGTAGTTAGTTACATCATTGGTACAAGCCACCTCACTCATGGCGGGTCCCTAGGCGACGGCTGGGCGTAAATTGGCCATTTATAATGGGCCCCGGGAGTGGCTCGGTTGACCTCGTAAATCGGATTCGAGCGTGCACAGCGGGAACGCCAGGGCCCCACCATGATGCGCTGAATGGAGGCGCCAACAAGAGCAACCGCGGTGGCGGTGGTGGGTATAATCAATCGATCCCGCGCATACATGGCCGGCCGCGCCGTGTTTTCCCTTAGATTGAGATGAGTCTTTATAGACGGCCTGCTCAGTGGTGGCCGCGTTGTTTATGCGTCCCTGGGGCGCTCCTGGCGCGTATCGATGGCGAACGCGTGCCACTAAGTTTGGTGTATAAGGCCCCCGGCAGCCGCAGGTGTCCTTCACATCAGCAGGCTATGTATGCACAGACGACGCTTTCGCGAAGAATATTACGTGACTGCGCCTCGGGCCTTAAAAAGGACGACTTCCATGCCATCGGGCGCTATCCTTGCACGTCCCAGGACGATATCCCCTCCATCCCTTTCTCCAAGCATGTTTGTTGTTCTCTAAAAATTTTACTCCCTTGGCACCGGTGAGGGCCACCGGCCTCAGAACGCACGCGTATGTTGCTGTCGTTTTGTACACCATAAAAGGGTGATGGGGAAATAAAAAAGGGGTGGGAACATTCACGGGAAATATATTCGACAGTAAAACAACACTCCTTCAGCAAGAGTGTAGCCTAAATGGCAGTTGAAATGTAATGACTGATGTTTATATCCAGAAAAGTGTGAAATTTTTAACATACGTGCATATGATAGAACATATAGAATTATGCTAGGATCGATGCTTCAACTTCAGTCTTTCCGTGTATATAAGGTATGAATAAGGCACGCAACATTACTGGTGGATGACGACAAAAGTCACGCTTATTGGTTTTGGTAATTGTGGACAACCCTTCTGAGCCGTTCAGGACGACCGTTTAGAAATAAGGAGATAAACCAATTTGTTGCCTAAACGCGGATGCTTACCTGCGCTCCATCGGCAACTTTTCCGACTGGCTTCTCTCCTTGAAATTGCGTATTATTATACAATCACATGTGGTTCCTCTCATAATCTGTATGCAAAGATCATTTCAAAATGAGACGTAAACCGACACAGTCTATCTTTGTTTTATTGTCTTAGCTTGTCGTTTCTTAAAGGGCATCTCTGCGAACTTTGTTGACAAGCAAGTGACGTGAGCCTCACTTGCGCTTACCCGAGATTCGCTGTGCCATCTTTTCAGAGTGCCTGTTCAACGTCGAAGGCAGCCACGGCGTCATTGGCTCGGAAGACATCAAACCATCCCAGCTGGAACACTCCCGCCAAAACAAGCTCCCCCTGGAGTGCACATGGAGCATTCGGGTGAAGCCATCCTGGAAGGTGTGCAGTCCCACTTTATTCCTGCGCTATATAAATTCTTTCGCGTGGTGATTGGTTTAGGTGAACCAAATAAAGAATGTGTTTACCATGACGACAAAAGCACGCCCCGATACAGGTAAGTTCCGAGTGACATCGCTTATTTGTAGGCGTCTATTACGTTGGCGTAACTATACATTACCTTTGGGAGAGTAGATGCACAGATAGTTTAGACTGCACACACTCGCTGCAGAGCAGTACAGGATGGACGAATATCACCCGAGAACTTGGCGTCTTTCCTTCTTTCTTTCTTTCTTTCTTTCTTTCTTTCTTTCTTTCTTTTTTTTTTCTTCACAGTCAAATGAATTGACACCTACAGAACAAATCGATAGCCACTGGGCAATAAACACAAACGAAGCCTTCCTTTAACCAGTATTCGAAAGCAAAGTCACGCACAGTGCAGAGCGCAACTATTTTATGCAGCCCAGAACCTTTCAGAGCAGCAAGAGTGACGCATCACGATTCAACAATTTTGCTTTGGGTAATGTGCACACAGCGGTGTTTAAAAACAAGTCAGCTTAGCGTCCTTTGTAATTAATTTATATGTGGGACTTAACGTTCCAAAACCACCATATGATTATGAGAGACGCCGTAGTGGAGGGCCCCGGAAATCTCGACAACCTGGGGTTCTTTGACGTGCACCCAAATCTGAGCACACGGGCCTACAACATTTCCGCCTCCATCGGAAATGCAGCTGCCGCAGCCGGGATTTGATCCCGCGACCTGTTGGTCGGCAACCGAGTACCTTAGCCACTAGACCACCACGGCGGGGCAAGCGTCCTTTGTAAGAACACCAAGTACAGTTTTAGATAGAGTGCACTCATTATTCAGAAATATAAGGGGGTCTGGCATTCCACTCTGATGCCCCAAAAACATGTGTGAACGTACCGTATGGGTGGAACAGGAAAGTGGTGGAGCACAGGCGGGCCAGTGAATTATTACGCAAGCCTACCCAGAACTCGGTTCTTGTGACTGGTGAGCTGGAACTTTTGCATCATAGGCATGTGTTGGTGAAAAAGCAATAGAATTATAGCTGTTTTATTATGTGCATATCTTGCACCATGCTTACAGCAAATTTTGTGCAGTTCTTTGATAAAGTTATTCATTGACGCCTGTCGAACAATGGGTCTCTGCTACTGTCACTCTTCTTTGTGAGCCTTTGTCTGCTAGCCATTTTCATGAGTTCAAAGCTAGTCATTGTTTGAAGAAGTGTATGGCTCTTTCCCTAGAATATCTATTACCCTCTTTCTCTCACTCTTTTTGTCTCTATCCTTCTTTAAGTAGACTTTTTCTTTTGAGAAGGCAGGCGTGTTCTTCGCTCTCAAAACGTATGACCTCTTTCTTCAACGCTTGACACTGGTTATACTGGCCAGTTTCTACCAATGAAAAGTTCTCAATCGATGCAGATACTATAACACATAAAAGCATTACGTTCCGAGTGACGTCAGCCCCGTCGCGGTGGTCTATTGGCAAAAGTACTCCGCTGCTCATCCGCAGGTTCCTGGAACAAATCCCGCCTGCGGCGGCTGCATTTGCAATGGAGGCGAAAATGCTGTAGGCTCGTGTGTTCATATTTGCGTGCATGTTAAAGAACCCCAGGTGGTAAAAAGTTCGGGAGCCCTCCACTATGGCATCTCTCACAATTTTATGGTGGTTTTGTGACGTTAAACCCCAGATATTAATCAACGTTCAGAGTGACGTGTGTGATATACAGGGTGCGTGAAACAATCACATAAGTAAATTTTGAAGTGTAGTTGTTCACGCTTAAGCTTGGACATCGACAAAGTTGCTAGTGCGAAGAGCTGAACAAATTTAATGAAGTTCTGTGGCTCTTCGAGCGGCCTAGTCACGCAAAGAGACAAAATGCAGCTTAGTGCTAGCTTTCATGTTTGTCCTTTAAACAAGCAAAGAACTAAAACGCGTGGGCGTATGCAGCAAAATATTTGCTCTCATCTCGCGAAAATGCACATTTAAACAAACAAAAAGGTTATGTGCCATTACTCGCATATATTCGTACATATTAAATATTTGTATGCTGTGCTCTGCCTGTTTTGTATATCATTTTGCCGAAGTTGTGCTGTAAGCTAAAGTGGTATGATGACCAAGACTGGAGGAAGTTAATATTGTCTCTGGCATGCAAAACAGAATATATTTAAAAAGACCCAATGTAAGTGTGTCTGACACTCAAAGAAGGTGGGCGTTGGCGACGCGTTCGTGGTTGGAAAGGTAATAGCTAAGAGGATGACGTGTTTGCTAATTAAATAACCTTTTTATTTAGTATTTTTATTGCCCTTAAAGGCCACAGGAAGAATCATATAAAAACAAATTGGGGAGTAATAAAATTTTAAAAAGTCACAGCTTTCCCACAAAGGTGAAGCAATGAACGCATTAGCAACAAATCAGAAGGTCACGCAAAGAATGCAAGCAAATCGACTCGTTCCCCGCGTTTCTCACGCACAAATGATGCATGAAATGTACTCACAGGTACAGATGAATTCGAATGAGCGTCTCCGCTGTTACTTCGCTGTGCATGAAAAGCGCACCCTCTTCGCAAACAGAGACTGTGCAACGAGTGCAGTGACCTTTGAGCGCCCGGTAACTACAACAGAATCGTTCCGGTCAAAGCCCAAGGCGTACGATTGTCCCCACTGCGAGATAAGCTAGCACACGTGCAAGCGCTTGCAACCACCCTCCCCCCCCCCCCCCTCAGCTCTCCGCGGCACAAAGTACGCGTGGGAAATGAAAGCGCGCCGTCGCCGCGCCGTGACGATCTGGTGGCGCGCGCTCATTGCGCCATCTCGCTGGTAATGCTGAAAACACGACAGTTTCCCATAAGTGGCCATCTCCTGTGGTAAGTGGTAGATATAAATAGCTTGCTGTTTCGACGTTGACGGCGGTGCTCCTTCGTGGCTCAGTGGCGAAAGCCTCGCACTCACAATGCAGACGTCAGACGCTCGATTCCGCGCGCCGTGGTATTTTCCTAGAGAATTTTTCTTTCTTGTGTTTTCATATATTTAGATACGTATACATATACGGTGATAGACAGCGACGCTAACGTCGACTTTGACGCAGGCGGTAAAATCCAGCCAAGAGTGTCTATGTAATTGCTATCACTATAAAATGCAACACACAAAGACTGCAGTAAAGTAAGATGGTAGAACCATAAACAATATACTCAAATCAAAGCTGCATCACCATTGTGCGCTGTTACAGGAAGCAGGCGAATGCTCGTGAGGTAGAGCTTTTCATAAAATCGCGACAAGCCATAAAAAATTGGTGACTGTTTGTTTGTGTGTTGCTCCTTCGATGTTTTCGATTCAGAGTGATGTAAAACCCCTTTACTCACTTCAGTAAGACCTATTGTAGAGACGCGTTTGAGAGGCGCCACTGTTGCAGCGCGTGTGTCTCCCCCTTTTCGCAGATGTACCTGACATTCCTCGAGTACAAGCTAGCGGACCCAAACAATTGCCGCTCCAACTTCGTGGACATCCTCGCAGAGGAGCCTCAGCACGAGTCATTGAGCCACTTCTGTGGCACAATGGCGGAGCCCACCCAGTCCAAGTCGAACCACGTCAAGGTGCGCTACTACGCCGAGCACGGCGCCCTCAAGGGCGGGAACTTCTCCATCCTCTTCACTGCCTTCAGAGAGATCTCCAGCGGAGGTGAGCACGCGCCCATGCGCGCTACGTACGTGCCTCGGGCAATCAACAGCGAAACACGGCGGCGCACCATTAGATGAACACGCGCAATACATAAACAACGCTGCTCTCGATGAGGAGGAGTTCATTTACATCTGCGCGGCTGCTTTTGCACATGCCAGCAACCGGGGCCGGCAACAGGGCGGCAAGACGAGCGCAAGAAGCAAGCGGTCCAAGGCCGCCGGCTGTAACGTTCGCTGCAGAGGGTCATTCCCGGCGTATGGCAGCGCTGGCGAATAAATTGAACCGACGCAGAAACGCGCAGCGACGACCAGGCCGCTCGCAAGGGAGCGCGCGCAGCAAAACAAGCGAAAGAGGGGAGGCATTTTGGCGGCCGACTACGAGGCTCGGCCATTAAATGGCCGGCTACTCTGGAGCATCGCTCGTCCGTCTGGCGCGCACAGGCTCCGGATTTTTGCTGGCCCTACCGGGTTTCGGTTTTCGCTCGTGGAAGAGTTTGTTTTTCTGCGCCTTATTTAATTCGCGCTGCGGGCGTCTGGTGGCGCTGTCTTGTCCCGTCAAGCGTTATTAAACGCGTTGGCTTGTAAATTTGCCTACGGTGCCGCTCGTTTTTATCAACCGAGGGCTGCATTCTCTGTGGTGGGCGTAATTGGGGCGCCTTAAACGAGCGTAGGTGCGCCGACGATGCCGCTTCCCCACCGTGTCGGCGAACTATCGCGTAATTTTCTAACCTAGCGGAGGGGGGGGGGGGGGCTCACTCGGGGGAAGCCGTTTTCTTCGGTACTCGCTCACCAAAATCTCTGGTCAATTCTGTGGTGTACTCGGATCGACGAGTGTGCATGCCAAGAAGAGCAACACCCCATTTCTTTCATTTTGGCTATAATTGGGTGCCGTCCCTGAGTCAAGAATAAAGCTGCGCATCTAGGGTTAACGTATGCGCAACAGTGCCGTGAATGAGTACAGTTAAGACGTCAAATTTTTTTCATAGGTCTGCTTTAATAGCGTTTCTTATTTTTTAAGATGGCAAACACAAGAACGCATACAGGCGCTGCACAACGACACCACCAATTTGTGACGTGCTGTGCAATATGAAAAAAAAAAATCAGTACAGGAAGCATGAAAGCACGCTGTGAATTCAACAGATATGAAATCTATCTACTAGAAATATTTGCATATAAAGTTATTTTGCACATTTGCGTAACAGAGAGAATACAAACAAGACGCCTACATGGCGGGTAAACTTAATCTCGATCGTTGTCTGTGCGTTAGCGCGATGGCGTTGAAGAGCTAGTTTCGCAGAAATTTCGACGTCGGCATCGGCATCGTTGGTTGAGCGAAAACTCGTCATCTCGTCTGTGACCGAAAAATCGATAAAGATCCAAATAAAACAGCAAAAATTTTCTCATTGGAGTGAGGATTGAACCAAGGCCATTTGCGTGCAAGCAGGTATTCTATACCAAACAACCACGCGTCTGCTTGGAAATGCAGTGAAAATAACTTATGCTTTGCAAACCCACGCGTGCTGTAGACAGGCTTCAGTATACAACATGTAGCCGAATAGCGCAATAATATTGCGTGGTAGAAGCGTACATTATCATCGAGCGTCAGTACATGTGATTACCGTAACGGCTTTGTGGTGTAGGGTAAGACAGGGCAAAATGAGACGCGGACTAAAACGCGACATTTTGACTTTGCCAACCTTTGTAGATAATACAAAAAGTACTTTTTTTCTTTTTTTCTACGTTCCGTTGATAGGTGCATGTACTTGTCCACCTTTTTATGCGTGAAAGTTCATGATTACTCGCAGCGTTCGTGCGGGAAAAATTATGCGACTGGTGTCAATGTGATAGAGCTCCTTGCAACTCTGTCGTGGCGGCGAGTACTAGGCACCGATGTGCCTGTGTTTGACATCAACCAGAGGTACCGGCCCGCAAATATCGATGAAAAGCATGTCTGCAGTGCCTCCCGCCTGCGCTCTTTTTTCAGCCACTTCTTATCGCCTTCGGCATTTCCCCTTAGCGGTGTTATATTATTGTATTTTCGAACATTGGTAAGCAGTTTATACTTCAAGTGAATGCGATGTCTTTACATGGAGATAAATCTTTTATCGTTGTTGAAAGAGTCCTGTCTATATGAACACCTCTCGAATCTATAAGGCCGTTATAAAAGCGGACGCTAAAAAATTTAGTGAGATGTGGTCACCAATGGCTGCACTCTCCTCACTTCGACTAAGGTGCAAGGTTCATAGTCATGAAAGGGATGTAAAAAAAACGCGAAGCGAATTAGGGAAGTTATGTATAGCAAGATTGAGAAATATTTGCGTTTTACAAACGCTTTGCCCATCGGCACTTCTTTTTCGTGATTGAGGTATCGTAGTTTCTGGTTCAGTCCTTTCACAGGCTTGCATATATTTCTTACCTGTAAATCGTTCTTTGAAAGAACTCATACAGGCTGCTGGTACGCTGCTGGGTATAGAATAAGGTGTTCTGCAAATATTAGGGTTGGGGTAAGGAAAATGGTTGGGTTGAACAAAAGTGATGGGAAGCTGGGTATACAGTTTAAAATCGAGAAAACGTCTGATGCTCGTACAAGATCAATACGAGATCAATACGATGTTTCACCTAAACTTTTGATTTTATTTAATATATGGGGTTTAACGTTCAAAACCACCATATGATTATGGGAGACACCGCAGTGGAGGGCTCCGGAAGTTTCGATCACCTGGGGTTCTTTAACGTGCGCCTATATCTGAGCACATGGGCCTACAGAGATTAAACCTCCGTCAAAAATGCAACCGCCGCAGCTGGGATTCGATCCCGCGATCACCTAAACTTTAACGTAACAAAGCAATTACTCGTATTTAGAGTCTACCACTGGAACTGTACATTGTTGGGAGTGAACAACAATGCCAGATGTGTTAGGTGTCATAGACCTGAGAATGTCACTTGAAGGTTGCCCCACATCTGCTTTATGATCTACGGTAAAACATTATTGACAGGCTGTGTCACTTGTAGTTGGACCTCATATATAGTCCGGAAGACTCTCAGCTGCGGCCACCGTCTGCGCTCAGTCGACCTTGACTTCCTGCTGCGCTGGATCAGAACTGAACAGTTCCACCTCCCCCTCATATATATTGTAGGACTGAGCTTGGTCGATATATTTAAGTGATTTAGAACAGCGCAACAAAAAGCTTTGCGTTTGCATTGCACATGCGTCTTACACAAACATCCTGCGGGCTCCCGTTGAGTGATGAACGTTAACGCTACGCCCGAAAGCTTTGCGAACAGTATTGTAAAACACCCTATATTGTGGTGATAGTGTTGAAGAGCTTGTTTCGCCGGAATTTCGGCATCGGCATTGGCATTGGTTATGAGCGAAAAATAATAATTTTGTTTCTGTCTGACGTGTTTCGGTCCAACGTGTTTTTGGTGCGACTATGTTTCTGTCTGGCGGGAAGCTATGACAATGGCGTCAACGGACATTGTGAGAGTCTAACCCCCGTATTCACAAACGCTCCTCGACTCGACTTCCACCCTTCACTTGACAGAGTTGAGCACTGCGCCACCATTCGGCTGAAAATGACGCTGCGAAACTCATGAATTGCAGCAGATTATCGCTCATATGCAGTGACTTGCCGTGCCTAGAGACGGCGCTCCCATCGGCTTTCTCAAGTGAAGGTGAAGCGTTGAGTGAAGGAACGTTCCAGAATACGGGGGTAAGAAGATTTGCTCGTAATAATAAAATGTCCCGGGTCCGAGTGAGGATCAAAACCAGGCCATCTGCATCACAAGCAGTTGTCCTGAAACAGGCTGACTATGTTCATTGAAATTGATTTGGAAAAAACACTGTATTAAAGTCATTTACCTGCCGTGGTGGTTTAGTGGCTAATGTACTCGGCTGCTGACCCGCTGGTCGCGGGATCGAATCTCAACTGCGGCGGCTGCATTTTCGATGGAGGCGAAAATGCTTTGAGCCCGTGTGCTTGGATTTGGGTGCACGTTAAAGAACCCCAGGTGGTCGAAATTTCTGGAGCCCTCCACAATGGCGTCTCTCATTATCATATGGTGGTTTTGGCACGTTAAACTCCACATATTAATCAATGTCATGTAGCGGAAGCCGTCTCCTTAATGCATCATATTAATGTAAGATCGGCTAGTACTTTTGCTACTGTTGGTGGCAGTCTTTAGTATTGGCCGCTGTAGGAAAGAGGGTGAGGACAAGCCAGCGAAAAGATTATGAAGTTGCGCGAAAATGCTGAGGAACCAATCTTTGGCCAATCCTCTTCTTGGGTAGTTGCCAATCATCCAAGAAGCATCGTCATCATGATCAATCAAGCAATCAACCAACCAACCAACCAGTGATCGAACCAGCTTGACTAATGTTCTGCTGTATTGCACGCTCTCACGCATGGAACAGCAAACACACACGCCCACACACACATCCGCACGCACTCACGCATAGAATAACGCACACACGCGCGCACTTGCACTCGCCCACACACACAAGCATGCCCACAAAGGCAAATAAGCGCGCTTGCACATACACACACATCCGTACAGGCTCACGCATGGAAGAATTAACACACGCAGACACCACGCCCACGCACTAGACTTCACACAAAAGCGTGCGCAGACCCACACACACCACACACACACACACTCACTCACTCACTCACTCACTCACTCACTCACACACAACACACCACACACACACACACACACACACACACACACACAATCGCCTCCCCATCCACCAGCACGAAGCCTCACTTCTCAGCGGAGACCTACACTTTACAGTAAGGAAGACTGAAGTGCAAACACCATTTTCATTGCATCCACCTCAAATTTTTGCTAACGGCCACGCAGCTGCGCCGCTCACACAGACCCGACGACATAATTTCTGCGAAACAAGCTCTTGATTACGTCGCGCTTTAAAACGACAAGCTTCACCTAAACAAAAGAGAGTATTTTTGGCGCTAAGGTGACCATTCCTGGTTCCCTATAGTTCGCAGCCTATGTTCACGTTGATATTCGTCTACATGCGGCCTGCGCTTAAAAAGACGGGGCATTCGCATCCCTGCCGTACCGTGGAAACTTCAAAATGCTAACTGTCCGTGCCCACAACAAAATTTTCGCTGATCATCGTGTAGGTGAAAACGACTGCAGCATTACCAGTACTGCTTTAATTTTCCAGCAATGTGATGCCGTGATGACAGAGGCTGGACTTCATACATAGCTATGCGGATCGACAACGACAAAATGCATTCCTTTTAAGAGAACAAGGCTGCCTAAATAGACGCGCACCGATCCAGGCAGCAGTGGAAAAAACGATGGCTACAACAAAAAATGAAAAGCGCGGCAGATCACGTAGTCAGCTTAGTACATGTGTCATGGAGGCGAAATTTGCGACCAAGCTGCGCAGGCACGAAGTTGCCTCACGCTGCTTGGATCTGTCTCGATCACAGCATGCTACACAGAACAACACTCACGGTGTCAAGGCCGATTAAGAATACACATTAGCATATCTTCATGCCAGTCACCCCGTGAACGTCGTCCAATGTGAAATTCTCCAAGCATGTCTACGGCGCGGCGTTGTCTGCAGGGGAGTGGGAGTAGAGCCAACACCACCTAAATGAGTTCACTTATCTAGGTGGTGTTGGTAGAGCACCGCATCGCGGCGCGTGGCGGAACTTCTCGAATTATATTTTTTTTTCAATGGGGCGTGTGCCGAATGGAACGGCCGGAAAAACACCGTCGCACGCGATCCAGGCGGTCGTGGTTAGACATATCAGCCTGAAATATAATTATTTATGTGCATATTTTTCACTATACCCACTTATCACCAGGTACCACATGGAATGAATGCAACCGCCAATGTGTCCAACGAAACCGTTTCTTTAAAGCGCACATTTTTTAATATAGGTTAGTCTTAGGAACACTCTGCATATTATGGAGTTAGTCAAGGAAGCCTTTGAGAATATGGAACACCCAATAGAAAATCTTTAACACATAGACCAATTTCCTTTTTTAAATTCAGGCGAGCTGATGCACGAACGTTGACGTCTCTTTTGGCCAACGTCATGTTTCTCCAATTAGTATTCGGGAAAGAAACAGCGCAAGGACACGTACTCAAAATAGAACAAAGCAAGGGGCAGCTTCGAACACAGGGCGCGAGCTGACTCATAACCTAACTTAGTAGCATATATATGAAACAATGTATCCTAGACACCTTAATCATGATTCTACATAGTGCCCATAAATGATACTTCAGTCACTACTTCCGGAGGGATTTTAACACTTTGATCCCCCTCTTACCTGAGCGTCTGAAGGTGCTGGAAATGTTTTAAATTAAAAACGGTTTGGTAATAATGGAATGCTTTCAACGTTTCGAACACGCTAGTAGCAACAAAAACAGATGTATTACGAATTCAACTGACAACTTTAAATGGCCAATTAAGTACCATTCAAGGCTACAATATGGAATTCTCTCAAACATGTATACCTAGAATACATCATTTCGTCATGCACACCAGTGGTAAGCGATCACGCATCGGTCTATACCTGAAACATCACAAAAACAGCTTAGATGGACAATACTTTATATGTGGTTAATTATTATAATATTACGTGTATTTTTATTAAAGCCAAACACAACGGCTCGATACTGTATTTCAATACTGTATTGATTTATAATACTTCCGCTTGGGACTAAGAAGCGCGTCAATATAAACTGCCCTTCAATTGTCGAAGGGGGAAGATAGTGCACCGTAAATAAAGCATGCCCCATTTTGCGTTATATACAGCAGTATTACTAAAACGATTGACAAGTAGTTGTGTGACATGCATTATTCGCTGCCGAAAAGGCCCCGCTAGCCTCTCGCGCTGACATTCCATGCAGTGAAGGGGAAGCAAAGGCCGGCTTCTTACTTAGAAATGTTTTTTTCTCCCTCAAAACAGAATTTACTCTCTTGACACTTGCTGCTTATTTTACTGACAAACTACACTATGCAACATTGTAAAAGTCATACTTTTACTTTGATTGCTACATTGAGAAAATTAAGCAGCAGTATGAGTCAAAATGCGACTTTTTTCAAATTTGCCAGAATATTATGGCAATATTTTGGCTTTATTTGCTCCCGAAGTTTTTTAATTATTTAAAATAGGAGCACGTGAAGCGAAAATGGTGAATATATCACTGGCCAAAAACATCTGCCTTTTGTAAAAGACGTTAGACACGCAGCATATTGCAATTTTTCGCCAAAGCGAAAATGAAATAAAATTTAAAAAATGAATAAACCGTCATAGTCATAAAAGTGTAGCGCCTTGAAAATATTCAAAATTTCGTTTCATACCAATTACACAAACCAGTAATATTATATAAATTACTTGGCGTGACACAGTTTCTCTTGAGTGCCCAAAGTTTGATGCGCCATCTAGGCAACACGTTTTTCTTTTTGCGAAATTGAATACCTCAATAACTACTTCTCACAGGTGCATATGCCTGCACAATATTTTCCAGCATGACCGGAGATGGCCAAAATTGACCGCTCACATTTCATCACTTGATATGATTCATATATATATATATATATATATAGGCAGGCATGGTGGCGAAAATGGCCGTAGCGTTGCAATAAGTCAAGTAGATCCTCCAAGAGAACGGTAACACGGAAGTGTTAATTCGAACAGTTTCGCCAGAGTCTGGCCTTCATCAGGAGTCATGGTACATTCTGTTTGCGCTCACATTTATAGTATTTTGGGTAAAAATGAGAGGGAAGGAAAAAAAAAAAAAAAAAAAAAAAAAACAGAAAGAAAGAAAGAGTTTGAAAAAACATTGAACATTAAATTGAA